GTCTTAGAACTTTACAGCAGTTTCGGTTCGAATGGTTGACGTCCCATTGATGGCGTGTCGGCACTGTTACGTTGATTCGCGCTGTTGAATCCTCAGGCTTGGACTTCTGGCACGATTCAGAATCGTCGGGACGCAGTAGTAACATTGATATGTGGCGTTGAAGTCCCTGGAAGGGTGTTCTGGTACCGTTGTTCAGGATTTGCAGACGGTTATCTTCCAACAGGGCACTTCCCTCAGTGACGCTGAACCCTTCCTTGTAGGGACCTACGAAGAGGGAACTTGGAGAGAGGGTTTATTGCAACATCGTTGAGGAGGCTCGGGTTTGCACTGGTCCTCCTCTTCCTCCCTCCTCCTCCTCCTCCTCCTCCTCCTCTTTGCGTTGTGCGGACAATGAAATGCTCTTGCTGCGTCCTTCCTCCTCCTCCTCTCATCCTCGTCCCCTCCTCCCCTCATCCTCGTCCCCTCCTTGTCCTCCTCCTCCTCCTCCTCCTCTTCCTCCTCCTCCTCCTCCTCCTCGTCCCTTCCTCCCCTCCCTGACCCCTCGCGAAGGGCCTGGGGGGGGGGACGTGTTGGTGGCCCCTCCCGCCTGCGGACTGGCCCCAGCTCCGCTCCTGCCCCCCCCGCAATGTAAGAGCCTGAAAGCAAACCAACAACACTGGCTTGTTGTGCTGTATTTGGTGTGTTGTTTGAAACAAGCAATCGTAAAAAGCGAAATGATCGGACGCAAACAAAACAATAACGACTTTTTGATTTTTTGCTCGTCACTGGCGAAAGAAAAAACAACCCTCTGCTTCCACCCCCTCCTTCCGAGCTAGGGTCAGTCTTAAGTCGGGCCTGTCCCTCTCTACAGAAGGAATGTCCAAACATAGTTAAGAATAATAGTACGGGGGCGATTTTTTCAGCACCTTTTGACTATTCTGGAGTATTTTTTAGACTATTTTTTTGTTCTTCGTCCAAAATCCGCCTGCATGGGGACATGCCCGACCTAGGGTTATTCGGCGGCGAGCCATGGGGGAGAACTGAGAAGGAGAAGGCCTTCTCAGAAGGTGGCGGGACTTCTCGGAAGGCCTCGCACCTCTGGACAAGGCTTCTGCGTCTGTGGGGGATTCTCAGAGAACTCCGCAGAAGGCGAGGGGACTTCCGAGCCTTCTGAGAAGGCCTTCTCCTTCTCACGCTCCCCCCACAGGCTCGCCGCCGAGCTTGTGCACGCCACCGTGTTGGGCCTTCGAGCCTCCCCGGCCTGTCAAGCCGTTTGCGACTCACAGGCCCATTTCCGCCTGTTCTGCGCCTCCTCGACCGCCGTCCGGTCCTCTTGCGGCCGCTGATGAGAAAAAAAGTTGCCTGCGCCTCCGTGCTGGTGTTGAGGACGAGTCATGCATGCCGCGTTCCCCGGCTTCTTTTGGGGAGCCCTGCCGCCATCTGTGGAGCACGGCACTTGTCCATGCCGTCGCTGCGCGCGCCTCCTCCTCGTCGCCCTCCTCTTCAGTATCCTCCCGTCTACGTGCGTTTCTCATGCTGCAGTCGTTCATGGGCGTACGGCTTTTTGCTGGCGCGGTGCTGCTTGGTCATGGTGCTCCTTGCCGTCGCCGTCCCCGTGGAGGCCAGAGAGAGAGAGGTGGTAGTTACATGATTCTATAGGCTTACGCCACATCCGCCGACCCCTTTTTTTTCCGCGTGGTCGTTATCACGGCTTCTTTGCAAGCTGCGGGAAGGATTCAGGTGGTGACCTTGAACTGTGTTCGGGTGCTGTTGGGCGGGCCGTCGCGCATGGGCGCCGTTTGGGGGGCCCTGTCGCGGGGGGTATCAGGCATGCACGGGGTGTTTGGGGGTTCTCTCCGAGGGTTCCGTGGTCGTCCTTGGGGCTTTTCGGGTGGTGGAGTCGGGGCAGTACGTTGCACGCCGGTGACATCTCAAGGGTGTCGGCGGATGCCGTCCGGGAGTACTGTGGATTATCATGGTCGGAGTCTTTCGGGTAGTGTGTTGCCAGGTGACGAGGATGGTCCTGCTGACACGACGGCGACCATGACGACGGTGGTAATGCTGCTGATGATGACGATGATGACGACGTTAATGACAATGGCGACGACGATGAGGAAAATGATGGTGATGACGATGGTGGTGATGATGATGATGATGATGATGATGGGGAGGATGAAGATGAGGGTGAGGATGAGGATGAGGATGACGAGGAAGAGAAAGAGGAGGAGGGAGGAGGAGGAGGAGGAGGAGGAGGAGGAGGAAGAGCAGCAGGATGAGGAGGAGGAGGGGGGAGGGAGGGGGAGGAGGAAGAGGAGGAGGAGGAGGAACGATGATGAGGTGGAGGAGGAGGAGGGGGAGGAGGGATGAGCAGGAGGCAAAGATTGACAGTATGGGTCACGGGCCCCCGCGTCCGAGGACGCAGGTGCGAGCTCACTCTTTCTCTTGAGGCGGATGCGGAGGATGAGGAGGAGAAGTCGGCTTAAAATGGAGCCCCGGACTTGTCCGCGGGCCCCTTCAAGTAGTTTTTGTCTCCAGGTCGATTTTCGGCGGTCTCGGGCCCCGAACCCGGGTTCGAGGGGTTCAAAACGCCGAGGGGCCTTCGAAGCAGTTGCCTCTCGGGGGCTCGAGGGGTGCAGTTTTGAAGCCACTGGGGGGCCGTTTCGGGGCCTCTGGGGGACTTCCACGAAGGCGCTGCAGCGCGTCGGGCAGCGCGCGAATGCTGTGGACAGTGGGGAGGAACAAAGCAGGAGACGGAGACGACGGGGGAGGAGAAGGAGGAGGAGGATGAGGAAAAGAAGGGGTAGGAGGAAGAGGAGGACGAGGACAAGTGAGGATCTTGTCGTGGATCCTGAGAGGGATATTTCTCGAATGGCCCGAGGCGCGTCCCGCGAATCCCGCTGCCGTGCCGGGGTTGTGAGTCTGAGGCCAGTGGAATATTCTTTGGGATCTCGTGGTCGGCCTCTCGGGGCCTCAAGTGGTGCCGACCAAGTACCGCGCGAGGTACGTCGTCCGTGTGCCTCAAATGGTACCGCCCACACTTTGGAGGCCCTTTGGGAGCTATTTTGGGCCTCTTGGGTGCCTCTTTTGGGCCTCTTGGGGCCTGCTTGGGGCCTCTTGGGGGCTTCTTGGGGGCCTCTTGGGGGACTCTTGGGGCTTCCTGGGGGCGCCTGGGGGCCGAAGCCTCGAAATGGGTTTTTTTTCTCCCCTCTTGGCCCCCTCTTGGGCCCGTCTTGGGGCCCTCTTGGGGCGTCTTCGGCGCCTCTAGGGCCGTCTTGGGGCCATCTTGGGCCGTCTTGGGGCCATCTTGGGGGCCTCTTGAACCGTTTCGGGGCGGTATTCAGGGCCTCGGGGGCCGTGTTGGAGCGTCGGGAAGCCGAAAAGGCGAAAAGGCAAAAAACACCGTAAAACATGGAAATCACCAGTTTTAGCATCTCGGGGCCCTCTTGGGAGGCTTATGTGGGACCTCCGGGGCCGTCTTGGAGGCCTCGGGGCCCGACTTGAGGCCATCTTGGGCGTTTTCGAGCGCCCAATTGGCGTCTCGGGGACCTCGTGGCCCGTCTTGGAGGCCACTTGGGGCCTTCTGGGCCCGTCTTGGGGCCCTCTTGGGCCCGAAAAAGCACCGTGGTCGCTCGTGCCGGGCCCGGGGGGGGGGCATCAGGGGGGGGTCAAATCGCCGGCTTGGGGGTCCCAGGGGGGGACTAGAGGGGGGGGAACTATCTCACACGCCTAGAGACCCACAAGGGGTCGGCGGATTCCATCCTTGTCCCCATTCTCGCTCGCATCCCTGGCCACGCGCAGAAGGGGGTAGGGGGAGGGGGGAAGGCTTCTTAGAATCACCCCTGCTTCTTAGAAGGCGCGGGCCTTTTTTGTAGATGTAAGGCCGGCGCCTTCTAAGAAACAGCCTCCTTCTAAGAAGCGTTCCCCCTTCCTCCTACCCCCTTGTGCGCGCCGCCAACATCCCCTTGGCTGGATGGCGGGGCCCGCAGGACTACCGGTGGCAGTGGCAGTCCTTCCTGTGCTGCAGCGCGACGTCGGTGTACGTCGCTCCGCCTCGCGACCCGGCCTCCGCCCCTCCTTTCCTGCACGTCTTCTCTCGTCGCCGCCGCCGTCGTCGCAGGAGGAGCAGGAAGAGCTTGGCATCGTTCGGACGGATTCGCAGACCTATGGGTTCACACCAACACCAATTTCGGCGGTGTGCCTTCACCGAGGGAGGAATATCCCGATCTCGGCGATGATGGTAATATTCGGGCTTCCAAGGTGACCGAACTATTACCACCACTGCTGAAAGCTAGGATCATCTTCCCCCTGTGGAAGGCAAACCCTTGTGATGGTGTTGGTGCCCATTTCTAGGCCTCCAAGGAAAAGCTTGGCATCGCTCGGACGGATGCCTTTTTTTCCTCGGCGAGGACCATCGAGGAGCATCCTGGGCCATGGAGCAAAAAGCACACACCGTCTTGAGGCCTTCGGGCTCGGGTTTCCGGGCTTTTCGCCCCGCAGTGGCCGACAGTCAGCGTGAGTGGCCCCCCTTTCTGCAGGCTTGATCGGGGGGGCGTCGCAGCCGACCCGAGCAGCTGGCGAGGCATGGCGAAGGCGCGAGAGGGCGCATAACCTTCCCATCCCCGACCGCAAGTCTGGCAACCTCCCAGCCTAAGGCCCTGTAGGGTTTTTGAGGGGCCCTGCACTCCTAAGCGTCGAAGCGCGCCGACGGTGCGCGGGGAGCGACTGCTCTGCTGGGCGCTCACCCTTCGCGCTTCCCATTGGCTTCCCAAGACATTCCAGGGCGTCGCTCGCACTTCCCAGGAGCTCCCCAGAGCGCGGGAGGTGAGCGCTTCCCTTTTCGTTTCCAGCGCCTCCCACGCGGTTCTAGGAGCGTTCCAAGGGCGCCCAGGGCGCCCCATCACTTCCCAGAGGACGCCCACAGCGTTGTAGCATGCATCTAGGGCTTCCCATGCGCGCCCCAGAGGTTCCCATGCGCGTCCAGGAGCCTTCCAGCGCGCCTCACTCGTGGCTTGTACGTGCTGGAGGGCATTCAGGGGCACTTCTTTGAGGATCAGCAGAGTGTATCGATGATTCGCAATGCCCCGAATAGGGGGCAGCCTGGGCTGCGTGGGCGACCCAACCAGGCTACCAGCAGTCGAGTCTATGGGAGACCAGGTCGTTTGTGGACATGATCAACGGTATGCGGTGGTTGGGCAGATGCACAACGGGGTGGTTGGGAATCGCGTGTTTAGGGTTTCGGTTTACCCATCGGTCGTTGGGTTTCGGTTTACCCATCGGTCGTTGAAAGTAGGTATCTTTGGATTCCAATCCAGCCTACTTTAAGCGCCTTCCTTCTTCAGTGATCGCGTGGCTTCCCCTTTTCCGTCCTCCTTGGGGGGCGGACGGAATCCAATTTACTTTCAACGCCTTCCTATTTCATGTTTCTACCTGCTCGTTCCGACCGTTGGGTACAGGTTTTTCTACGCGGTAGGGCTCAGCAGGCCCGCCGCCGCGCGCACGACCAGGGTGGCCGCCGCGCGCGGGTCCAGCGCCGCCGCCATGCTGAGCCTGGTGACAAGGATTCCGATGAAGATGAGGACGATGTTGGTGTTGATGACGACGACGCAGGTGTGTGATGATGGTGCTTATGATGATGATGATGATGATGATGATGATGATGATGATGATGATGATGACGATGACGATGTTGATGATGATGATGATGATGATGATGATGATGATGATGAGGATGATGATTATGACGATAATGATGATGACGATGATGATGATTATGACGACGATGATGATGCAGATGATGATAACGGCGGTGATGATGATGACGATGATAGTGGTGATGGTGGTGGTGATGATGATGATGATGTTGAGGTGTCTGCCACGGGTGATGCCAATGTTGAGGAAACGGCGGTGACGATGGTGATGACGATGATGATGACGATGCTGGTAGTGATGACGATGTTGATGGTGATGAGGATGGCGAAGATGACCATGATGTTGATGTGGATGACGACGACGTGGAGGATGATGATGTGACCGCTGCTGCGGCTGCTGAAGATATTACGTGTGTTGGTGTTGATTATGTTGCTGTGCATTATGATGGTGAGTAGGTCGACGATAAGACAAACATGACGATGCTGATGCTGATGCTGATGCTGCTGCTGATGGTGATGATGCTGATGATGATGCTGATTTTAATGATGATGGTATTCTGATGCTGGTGATGCAGATGGCGATGGTGACGACGGCAATGTCGATGATGGTCATGATGCTGATCGTGGTTATGATGGTGATGCTGACGATTGGGATGCTGATGATGCTGATGATGATGCTGACGATGAGGATGCTGCTGCTGCTGATGACGATGCTGATGCTGATGCTGATGCTGATGATGCTGCTGCTGACGATCATGATGATGAACATGGCCTTGACGACGACAGCAATGGTGATGATGATAATGCCGATGATGGTGGTGATTATGAAGGTGTTGCTGACCATGGGGATGATGCAGCTGATGATGATGCTCATGCTGCTGTGCTGGTGATGACGATGCTGATGATGATGCTGATGACGATGATGATGCTGATTGTGACGATGCTGCTGCTGATGGTGCTGAGTAGGATGATGATGATGATGCTGATGATGCTGATGATGCCGGTGTTGATGATGGTGGCGAACATGCTGCTGGTGCTGATGATGAGGGTGATGATGATGATGATGATGATGATGCTGCTGATGCTGCTGATGATGATGCGGTCGAGGATGGTGATGCTGATGATGCTGATGATGATATGGCAGATGATGACGATTCTGTTGATGCTGCTGCTGCTGATGATGATATTGATGAGGGTGATGATGATGATGATGATGCGGTCGAGGATGGTGATGCTGCTGATGATGATGATGATGCTGCTGATGATGATGCTCATGATGTTGATGATGATGATGATGCTGATGATGAATCTGATGCTGATAATGATGATATTGCATATGATGACGATGCTGATGATGCTGATGCTGCTGATGACGATGATGCTGCTGATGATGCTGCTGATGATGATGACGAGGATGCTGATGATGATAATGAGGTGGATGATGATGATACTGATGATGATGCTGATGATGATGATGATGAAGATGAAGATGAAGACGATGCTCATGATGCTGATGGTGATGATTATGATGATGACGATGCTCATTCTGACTATGCTGATGATGGTGATGATTATGCTGATGCTGCTGCTGATGATACTGAGGATGATGATTCTGATGATGATGACGCTGATGATGAGTATTATGAGTATGAGGATGATGATGATGATGATGATGATGAGGAGGAGGAGGAGGAGGAGGAGGAGGAGGAGGATGATGATGCTGATGATGATGATGATGCTGTTGTTGTTGCTGTTGTTGGTGATGATGATGACGATTATTATGACGCTGATGCTGATGCTGCTAATGATGCGAATGATGATGATGATGATTATGATGATGATGATGATGATGATGATGATGATGATGATGATG